ATCACTACACAAAAACTTGTTCATGTTTCGATACTAAAATGGTACTTCTTCAGGAGATGGTAGCTAACTAATGATAAAAATTATTTATAAGGAAAATTTAAAAAAAAACAAATTTTTACCTCTTTTCATAAGTTAAAGTGGGGCATAAGGTCAGAATTGAAAATATAGTTACGGGTATGTCTAGATTAACCAATAAACGCCAGGTCTACGCTAAAATATAAAAATAAGGTCAGAGGGTAGAGGTGGGCCGGTTATTGTTACATGTCAAGAAAATTTATGCTTAGACAAGTCACTCAGCGATATTAGGGAAGAATTTCAGCGACAAATGTATTATTGGTCTATCCAAATAAGATTTGCCAAATTGTTAAAGTAGACATAAATTTATCAGAAACGGATTTTTTTTTTAAATTTTAAAATAAATATTAATATACTCAGCAAGTTTCTTAAAGGGGCCTATGGGTAAAATTAAAAATGTGGAAACAACTATATAGGTTGTTAATTATATTCATTGACGGTAAAACATGGCAATATTATAGTTAAATAAATCAAATAAATGTTGGGTGGATCATTATATACTAATAAAATAATGGCTATACAATTATAATACGTAATCATACTTATTACAAAAGCGAGGTTGTGTGTGTGTGTCTGTTTCGTTTATATATTGGATCGGATTTCCTACATTTTTCAACCGATTTCAACAAAACTTCACGGGACTACGTAAAATTACCTGACAGCGCCAAAAATTGGAAAAAACAATTATTTTTGCATGAAATAAATTTGAAAACACGATTAAGAGGCATCGCTGTTTCGAGAATGAAAGGGGGACAACTCATATCGAGTTATACTTATTATAAAACCCAGGTTGTTTGTGAGTGTGTGTGTTCGTTTATATATGGGATCGGTTTTCCTACATTTTTTCAACCGATTTCAACAAAACTTTTTACTTTTTTTGGCAGGTAGTGTTTCTTATTGTCTTGCACACTTTTTCTTTATTTTACATTCAGAATGCTTTAAAATTCCATTTACAAGACAATTGTTTATAATAAAATTCTATTCAATCGATAGACTCATAACAATTGAAAAAAATGTTTTTGTTTGAGTTTGGGTTTGACCAATTCGTAAAAAAAAAAAAAAAAAAAAATTAATTAAGACATGCGTGTCCGTCAACCTTAAACAATAATCTTTGTCAATTTTATTTTTCAGTCTTTATGATGTCCGATACTTGATCTATCTCATACTGTTACATCCCCGGGCAACGCCGGGCTCTACTGCTAGTTTCTTATGAAAGAAATAACTATGTTTTAAGGTAAGAGGTAGACAGTGGCGGCATAGCACCGTTAATTCATTTCTTTGATTTAACAGGTTTTTTTTATTGTTAGGAAACCTTAGGATTTCAATGCAATTTTTCTTGTAAACATTGGAGACATGGATCATGTCAGGATTTACAGATTCTAGTTATTTTTAATATTTTCTGTTTTACCGTAGGAGTTGTTTTTTTTTTAACTACTTTTAAGTGTCAAAAATATTTAAAAAAGAGACGTTCCGTTGCGATACGCATGATTGTTGAAAGATGATATGTGCTGATACCTATATATATATATCAAATGCGATTGAATAGTGAGTTCGTTCCTCACTGGGCGCCCCCTAATTTCGGCTTTGTGCCACTGTATATAGGTATATATATATATGTGTATATGTGTATATATATATATATGTAAGTATATGATTGGTATATATGGAATGAATTCCAATAACCAACAAATACTATTGTTAAAAGAGTGCTCAATACACAGTAGAGCAGATATAATTATTTATTTAAAAAAAAAATTATAACATAAATATGTTATAAAATCACTACAAAAATTGCCATTTTGTTTCAACACCCTAGGTGTCTTAGACACCGGTAGTGTTGAAAAAGCTAATTTTAATGAAATAATAGATATTTATATATTTTTTAAATAGTGATATATATATATATATATATATATATATATATATGTATATATATATATAATGTGTCCTATTTTATCTCGTATATAAATTTATATTTACGTATATTTCCTTTTGTATGAATGTGTTTATATATATAGTATAGGGGTATATATATATATTGGTGTGTGTATGTATATGGATGTATGTTTTATATATGTACGTTTATATATGTATTTATTTGAATGTCGTTTGTATTTGATGTATGTACGTATATAGGTAGTTGTTATTATAGATAGGTATATTTATGTATATGTTTATATCTAGATATGTATATATGTGTATATATATATGCATGTTTGTGGATGTATATGTGTGTGTACACACCTATTATATATGAGATTGTTTGTGTGCATGTGTAGGTATGGAAACTTTGGTAGGTTATTACTGGCACAGTAGTTAGTCTATGTTTGTATATATGTTCAGATGTGTATTGGTGCGTGTATATATGTGTATATATATGTGAGTATGTGTGCATAAATGTGTGTATATATGTGTGCATATATGTTTATATGTATGTATGTGTATGTGTACTTGTTATCATAGATATGTATATGTGTGTATATGTTTATGTTTATATATTTATATGTATGTATTTCTTTGTGTGTGTGTATATATATATATATATGTATGTATTTATGTATGTATGTATATGTGTGTTAGTTTGTGTTTGCTGCCGTGTGTATATATGTATATATATGTATATACGTCTGACAGTACATTTATTTCTGTAGTTTTTCTTTTTATCCTGTTTTCCTTCACCTAATATATAATAAAACTATTATCAACTTATATGATTAAAATATGTTTTTATTGATATTTGTGGTTTTGGAATTTTCGTTTTAATATATTAAATAATATTATTTTTAACCATTTTTATATTTGTATAATTGCTCGCTTAAGTTATATTTTAATAAGTGGCTAGCATTTATTGAATGATACTTTCAGATTTAAATATTTATTGGTTGTGGTATCTGATTTGCAAGGTCAATGTCGGTGGATGTGTGTACATGTATTTATCGGTGTCTATGTGTATGGAAAGTGCATTCACTTTTAATTGTGTGTGTTTATAGGCGTTGGTTTCCCCGTATCCTTCTTTTTTTTTTTTTTTCATAAAGTGCCGTGGAGATGTTCCTGTCTCGTCGCTTTTTTGTGTGTATATATATCTAAATATGTCTGGGTGCTTATGTATTATAATCTGATTGTGTTGTTTTGCGCGTGAGTTTAAGACCCCATTCACACACTTGGAATTAAAATATATATACATGTATTGTCGGATGACCGGATATTGTAGCGTCTGTTCTAACGTAATATCAACGAAGAAATAAATTGAATAACATGTATTTTTTCTTTTCTCCTCAGTAATTTTATAGTTTTTAAACTTAATAGTGATTAAATTTGGATTTTAAAATTGGCAGTTTTTAATTTTAATATCAAATTTTATCATATAATTTAATAATTATTGGTTAGAATAAATTCTTTTTTAATATTACCCGTATTTTAAAGAACTGAATAGCTATTATAACATGATTTCGTTGTCAAGCTTTAGAATCTTCCTATACTTGGATTTTGATTGGTCATTCTAGCTTTTGTAACGATGTTTTCCCCTAGCGAAGGATCATTAATTAATTTGAAACTTTTACTTTATTTTATATTCAACATCATCACTTGATAAGACACCGAGGGTGTTGAAACAAAATGGATATTTTTGTAGTGATTTTATAACATATTTATGTTATAAATTAAAAAAAAAATAATTATATATATATATATATATATATATATATATATATATATATACGTACATACATATGCATTCTGTTTTTATACGTTATATTTATAGATATAATTTATTTATGTAAATGATTTTTTTAATTAAACAGTATTAACTGCGATATATATATATATATATATATATATATATATATATATATATATATATATTTGCATATCAATATTTTTGCATATTAAAAAGGGGTTATTTTATAAAACCAATGTTCTATAAGTAGAATGCATATATATATATATATATATATATATATATATATATATATATATATATAAATATGTATATGTAGGGAGAGAGAGAGAGAGAAAAGTAAAAGATTTGGCCATTTCTAAGACATCGTTACGGTGACGCCTAATCCTGCATGTCACAATAAACGAGCAAGACCTCTGATTGGGAGATTGATGGTTTTGAAGAGAATGGGACCACTTCTTAATTGCTGTTGTTCCCAGGTCCACTCTGACCTGGGGTGGTAGCACCTGTTAGGGTCCCAGCTATGGGCACACAGCGAACCCCAAAACAAAAACAAAACACCATGAAAGTATAAAAATAGATTTTTATGATGAAGATGTCAATACATATTTATATTAAAATGTCCAACAATACATTTTTAAAGTAAAAAGACCAGCAATCCATGTTAGGGCAGAATTACTAAAGCTACATTTTATTTGTAGTTGAAGACATACATTTTTGTTCAAAACATTTAAATTTAGGCATTAAATAACCCATATAGCTATTGATATGCCGCTAAACAAAACCAATAAACAGTGACACCACATAACATAAATTTTACATCCTACTTACCAATGACTTTTGCCACGTCATGATAGATAGATAGATAATGAAAAGACCACTATAAGTAGATAGATAGATAATAAAAAGATCGTGATCGATAGATAGATAGATAGATAAAAGATAGATAGATAGATAATGAAAAGACATCTATAAGTAGATAGATAGATAGATAGATAGATAATGAACAAACCGCGATAGATAGATAGATAGATAGATAGATAGATAGATAGATAGATAGATAGATAATGAAAAACCGTGATAGATAGATAGATAGATAGATAGATGAATAATGAAAAGACCGTGATAAATACTTACATAGATAGATAGATAGATAGATAGATAGATAGATAGATAGATAGATAATGAAAAGACCGTTATAGATAGATAGATAGATAACGAAAAGAACGCTATGAGTAGATAGATATATAATGAAAAGACCGAGATAGATAGATAGATAGATAGATAGATAATGAAAAGACAGCTATGATTAGATAGATAATGTAAACACGGTGATAGATAGATAGATAGATAGATAGACCGCTATAAGTAGATAGCTAGATAATAAAAAGACCGCTATAAGTAGATAGATAGATAATAAAAAGATCGTGATAGATAGATAGATAGATAGATAATGAAAAGACCGTGATAAATACTTACATAAATAGATAGTTAGATAGACAGATAATGAAAAGACCGCTATAGATAGATAGATAGATAGATAGATTGAAGGACCGCTATAAGTAGATAGATATATAATGAAAAGACCGAGATAGATAGATAGATAGATAGATAGATTATGAAAAGACTGCTATGAGTAGATAGATAATGTAATAACGGTGATAGATAGATAGACCAAAATTTCCAAACAGACAAACCAGTAAGGAGAGACAAACGGCAACAGATCATGACGCTCAACTTAAACGAAATTCACTTGTATATTCACTCGTTTTCCACACCAAGCTACGAGATGCTTACACTTCCCTCACTTTCTCCCTTACCTCTACTTTATCACATATATAAACATGAAAAATTCACTTGTAGTTGTTAATTTTTCATCTTGGAAAAGAACTACAAAAGACTGTCAAATCGAAGAAATTTAAAACTCGAACACACTAAGAAAATTTCCCCCCTCTGCAACATTTGATCCAGTTTATTTATTTAATAGTTAGTTATGAATTAACTCTTTGAGCCCTGACCACCGATTTACCGGTGGCAGAGAAAAATGACGTAATGCCCATCCACCGGTTGAACGGTGGGTAAACATTTGCAACCATTTTTATATCTACCGTGAAACATTACATACAAATTATTTTGAATGCGGGTTAAAATTGTTCAGGAGCGCGGGGCTCAAAGGGTTAAAACCGAGTAATGTACATGTATTCGAGTTTATATATATATATATATATATATATATATATATACATATATAAAGACATTTTATGTTTAACATTCTTTTTATAGATCCAAGTATTTAAGTAAATGCTCTGTTTATAATAATCAGTATTAAATAACATTTACCGGCCTGAATATTTAATACTGTTTTATTATAAACAGAGCATTATTAAATATGAATATAAAAGAATATTAAACACATAAAAATGTCTTTAATAAATTGTCGGACTTTGTCCATTTCTTAATGTATGACGTCATTTGTTTACATTTGATACGCCATGAGCAGTTATAAATGTACGAGATTCATGCAAGATTGAAGTTTATAAGCAGTAAATTCGACCTTGCCTACCGAACGCTCCTTTGTGGCCGTCAAGCTAAATGACGGTTCCGTATAGGATGCAGGTTCGAATCCTGTCAAAGGGCGGATATTTTCTATGAAAATTTCTCGGACATTCAGGCCGGTAAATATAAAAAGAATGTTAAACATAAAAATGCCTTTAATAAATTGTCGGACTTTGTCCATTTCTTAATATATATATATTTATATTTCTTTTCGGATGATAAATTATATAAAAACACGGACAAGATATTATGTCATACACCTTTCTGACAATATCTCAATTAGATCTCATTTAAATATTCATGGAGACCTACCGGACACTATTCGTAACACTTGTTGACAACACTAATATAATGCAAAAAAAGGCTAAAAAATAATGGCAGCCTTAATAAAAACAAACAAACAAACCAACACTTAATAATATTAACTTTGAACATGAACATAATATCTTGACCGTGTTTTGAAACTAAAAATGAAAACATTTTATAAAACATACACACAACAAACTATTTCTTATTTTAACAGTTAAAAATATAATCTTTGAAAATGGCTAAATGTATAGCCGAAAGCGATCGGATAATATATATATATATATATATATATATATATATATATATATATATATATATATATAAAAAATATAATATTCCAATAATTTATTCCATTGGAATCGTAAATACGATCAATTCATCAGACCTACAATTCAAAAAAGAAAACAGAAAAACAACAGAATTTAGGAGAGAGTGTCCATATGAGGAGGAGGGAGATTAAACCTTAACAGAGAGAATTTTAGGAGAGGTGAGTGGAAGGGTTTAAGTTAGAGAAAAATGAATGTTGTCGGATGTCTAATGCATAAAGATACATTTCGTGGTGACATACACACACCATAGACAATCTAATGTTAGAATAAGAGGGAAGGAAAAGACAAGGTGGGGGGAGAGAGATGGGGCGAGGAAAGTAAAATTGTGTTTGCTTAAAGGGCCGCTTTGTAATTGAGAAAATTTGACAAATTTAATATCGACTACAGGTTACAAATCAAATATAAACATATAAAAAATAAATATAACGATTATTATCTAATCCAGCAAGGACCTATATTTCTATGTTCAAAAACACATGCGAATACACACATACACAATAACATATACACGTATATATATACACATAGGCGTGTACGCACATACACACATACATATACCCATGTACACACATATAAAAATATAAAAATATATTAACATATCCACGCATACACATATTCATCTATATCCATATGCACACACTTTTTCCATACATATACATACATACACATGCACACATGCATATATCTATATATACATACATACATACATATATATATTATATATATATATATATATATATATATATATATATATATATATATATATATACACACACACACATACACATACATATGCATGTATATGTGTGTATGCACACATACACATCCATACACACACAAATAAATACATATACATGTACATATATATACATATACACACATATACATATATATATACACACCCTTACATATGCACACATGCACACACATACACACACATATACATATATACATACACACATACATATATACATATATATATATATATATATATAAAAAAACCAAAAATATGCAAAAATACATACACACACATACATGCATATATACACATCCATCCATCAGCATCCAGTCCTTCATATATATACACATTTACCCACATATATACATACGGACATACGCATACGTGCACATAAACATATATACCTAAAACCTCACATTTCTATACAATTATGTACACCCATTTAAACAATGTATTCCGTATATCTATACGTCTAACTATATATACACATATATATACGTACATATACACCCATATACAAATATATATTACATACACACCAAAACATACACACACATATATACACACATCTACATATACATCCATCTACATATATATCCATCCATCTACCCATACATACATCCATATAGGTATACATAAATATACATATATACACATACATGTACATCCATACATACACATACATATACCCATATACACACCCCTACATATGTACACATATATACACACATACACACACAGCTAAGTACACACATATATATATATACACATACATACACATACATACATACATATATATATATATATATATATATATACACATACATATATATGTACATATACACATACACACACATACACACACATATACAAATATATATATATACACACATACACACATATACATATACACATATACACATACATACATAAACACCTCCATACCTACACACACACACACACACATGTATATATATATAAATTAAAGTTTAAAATCTAAATAAGTAACATTTCAAACATTTGGACGTATAAAAAATAAATAAATAAATACATAGCGCATCACATATACATACAAATATACACACATATATACACATACATACATATAAATACACACACAGAGATACATATATGTACATATATATAAAAAGTTAAAATCTAAATAAGTGACGATTCAAATATTTGCGCGTGTATGAAAAAAAAAAAAATTCATATATATATCTACATATATATACATGCATATACATACATATACATACATGCACACACATACACAAACATATATGCATATATAAATACATAGCGCATCACATAAACGTGCACAATGATACATTTAGAGATAAACATAATAGTCATACAATTAAAATGTCATGCCCGATGTTATAGGACTAAGATGGAGCCGACATAAGTGACAACATGTTACAAAACGGTGTTCAAGTTTTGAAACGTTTCTTATGTCTACATTTAGTGAATATCTCATTCGAAGATTCAGCAGCTCATCTCGATTCTTATCTTTGATAATGAGGATTTTTCCACCATGCATAGATCACACCGATCGCGGAAGTTATTAGGTGTTCTGGCTCTAGATAGGAATCTCCATTTCAAAATTGGGTTTAATCCCTTATCCACCAGTTCCCAGTAGTGTTTGGATAAGGAAGTCTGTCTACTGGAGGCATCTATATCTAAATGAGCGTCTATGGTTGTATAGACGCCAAGCCCAATCACCATGGATATACCTATGTATCTTTTTTTTCTCGTTTATATTTCCCTCCAGGAAAGATAGTTGCCTCGTATATTACATTTTCATGTTTACATTTTACCCCCGATTGGACAATTATCTTTATTCCTACAATTGCAGGTAGGGTTACTAGATTGAGTTCCATTACTGTGGTAGTTTCTAAGTATTCTGCAATTATGGGAAGATATGATTTTCACTATATTTCTAACGCATGAGTAACTAATTTTTAGAGTCTTCCTATTGAAAATTTTACGTAGTGGATGTTTACTGTGGAAATGTTTATCAATTAATTTCAGAAAGAAACTTCCTATATCAATGTTAGAGAACCTTCCTCTTTCTGTTTTTAGTTCTGTTATTATTCTGATTTTTAAGTTCTCCATTAAAGTTTAATTCTTGTCTAAAACCACTATTTTATATATGAGAAGAAATGGGTAAAGTTCCGCCATTTTATATTTTAAATATCACGCAGTATAGTAGAGTCAATGAGAAAGAAATTTGGAGTGTTTAGGTGTTAATCTGAGGAGAGCGCAGAGGATTCGGAAAGAGGTGGATGAGTCTAATGGTGATTACGAAGGTACAGCAGTTGGAAAAACTCACTCTGATCGTCCTGATGAGAAAAACTTCCCGAATTTATTGGTGAGATCCAGTCCATGAAGGACAATCATCCCTCCAAGTTCACTTGGTCCATAATCAGGGATACGGGAGTGTCTGAATTGCTTATTAGACAGATGAAGGTATTCTGTATTTCTCATACAAGATGAGAAAGGGAAAAACTTTGTCCCAGCCATGAAGGACAGGATATAATTTATTTAAGTAAATGATCCGTTTTTTTAATTAAACATTATTAATTGCATTTACCAGCCTGAATGTTTGAGAAATTTCGTAGAAAACATGCGCTCTCCGATAGGAATCGAACCTGTAACCCTTATGGGAATCGTCATTTTATACTGTTGCCATTCAGCCACAAAGAAGCGTCTTCTTAGCAAAGTTCAAATTACTGCTTATAAACACACATAAATTTTGGGAAAATTCAGGCTGGTAAATGTAATTAATACTTTTTTAATTAAAAAAACGGACTATTTACTTAAATAAATTGTGTCTATAAAAATAACGTATAAACAGAAAATATATTAAATAATTGTCGAACTTAATCCATAATATATATATATATATATATATATATATATATATATATATATATATATATATATATATATATATATATTTTGAACAATAAAAATATCTTCAGAAAACACTGCGTTGTATATTAATATTCTCTCGTTTTTATTATTTCAGTTAGATTCCTCGACTAGTTTCGGCTAGCATGGCCATCATCAGGAGCAGTGAACTACAGTCCTGTTTTTGCATATATATATATATATATATATGAAGAAATATAGTTTTTAAGGTGTGCTATATTTATAGGATAAAGTGCTCAATATCAGAGATAGAGACTATGTAACTATAAATGTAAAATGATCGTGATATCAACACTCAGAGGCGACAGGCTGTTTCATCTTGGACGCAATCGCCACCCCTGACGATTGTCGCATGTAAGTGTTGACTTCGATGTTCACTTTATATATATTTAGGTCCAAACTGCCACATCCAACCTAAGTTTGACCTTATCACCAAGACAACCGAAATTGAAATTCTATACCAATCACTATCCTAACTTTCCCTGCGTGGTGACATAGCAGTACACCCCTGACCTGAAAGACTTATTTCAAAGCTGAGGGTTTGAAGAACCGATCCCCGGCACCAACTATATAGTAGTTTTTTTAACACCAAAACTAAAAAACGCTGCGAAAAGATTTAAAAACAACGCTGACATTGTCATCAGACGCTGATAAATCTACACATATGTTATAGTCAACAAAGCTGATTACCAGCAAAATTAAAAGATATCGTTGATGACCGATCTAAATTCACCAAATTGAAACGAAATCCCACTGAGAATTTAAAAGGTCTGTTAACAAGCTAATAACAGCTCACAACGCGGGAAGTCGATTCCTGAAAATTCAAAAAATAGTTGGAGATTACCAACCGGGATACCTATATGGAAACATAAAACACATAAACCAGGATACCCGCTACGACCAATTATTTCCCAGATACCAACACCATATCTACGAGCTATCAAAATTCTTAACGATATCATCACTCCATACCTACCTACCAATTACAGCATCACCTCCACCCACGAATTCCTACAAATTTTAAAACTACAAATGGAACAAATCAAGGTATAATAGCGTCACTGGACGTTGAAAACTTATTCACAAACGTCCCTGTTGATAAAACTATCGATATTATCCTCAACTCTATATACAATAATAATTCCATCCCTCCGCTATCCATCAAACCACCTATCCTAAAAAAATTACTACACGCATGCACAATCAAAGTTCCCTTCTATGACCATAATGGCAATATTTATACCCAAACTAATGGTGTTAGTATGGAAACCATGGGTCCATGCTTCTCAACTATTATATGTCTTACGTAGAAAATACCATATTTACACAGGTCCACAAACCGAAAATCTATGTTCGCTACGTAGATGATATATTCATTTTAATGATAACATTAAAGAAATAGAGACTTAAGACCACATTTGAGAAAAACTCCGTCCTTAATTTCACATATGAACTTAGCCAAAAAACAAACTACCATTCTTAGATATCCTCGTTGAACATAACAACAACACTTTCATTACATCATTATACAAAAAACCCACCAGCAAAACTTGTGCCACCTTAATTTCAAAAAGCGAATGTCCACTTAGGTACAAAATAGCTGTAATAAAAAATTTTCTAAATAGAGCCACCAGAACTCATCCTCTCGACTACTCTTTCTCAAAGAACTTAACAACGTTAAACAAACACTAATTAACAACGGTTTCCCTATACCTTATAGACCAACAAATTAGAATATTCCTCCCAAAGCAAGTAATAATGATAGCGAACAACAACTAAAAATCACATACACATTTATTACAAAAAAAAACCAAATGCATATTAATTACAAACAAGATGAATCTCTATAAGACATATTATAAAGAAATATACTACCCTATTGACCCGGATAAAAAAATCAAACTTATTATCTATTATAAAAAAATTTAAGACGGCCAACCTTATCCTCAAAAATAACAACACACCAACGAAGTCAAAATTACAAAAGCGAACATTATCTATGAGTTCAAATGCCCTTTAAGGAACCAACGTTCCACCAAACCGGACTCATAAATAATTACATCGGCTACACAACCACATGTTTATCCAGACGTCTTACATTACACCTATCTGATCACATTTTCCATCAGAACACATTTAAACACACACTCAGATTTACCCGACATTATTAGGAACATACTAGTAGAAAACACAAATATATTAACTGCATCCACTTGCAAAAAAAGACTAAAAATAATGGAAGCTCTAATAAAAAAGAAAAGCCAACTCTTAACAATATCAATTATGAACAAAGCCACAATGTGCTAACCGTATTCGAAACTAAAAACATCACTACCACACACTGAAATACACAGAACACACACTCTACTTGATAATGAATATCCAAATTGAACCATCCTTGATAATGGCTAAAAGTATAGCCGAAAGCGCTTGGAAAAACAGAACATTCGGACAGTTCTTACACTCTTTGTCCAGAAAAGAAAGTTCTTGTCAGAACACAAGAAAAATTAAATAAAAGCTCAACTGTAGTACCTTTGTCTGTCGTTTTTAACAGAAAACATGGCCATAAAGGAAGGATTGCTGCCTAATTATACAAAATATATATATATATATGTGTGTGTGTGCGTGTGTGTGTGTGTGTGTGTGTGTGTGTGTGTGTGTCCGTGTGTGTGTTTTGAACAATAAAAAATATTAAAACCTTAAAATTTTCAGACACACTGGGTTGTATATTAATATGTTTTCGTTTTATTATTTCAATTTGATTCCTCGACTAGTTTCGGCCAGCATGGCCATCATCAGGGAAAAAAAATTTCTGCTTGTTAGTAGCATATATATATATATATATGATATTAATGATATTAATGCTTAAATTATACACACACACACATTAGAGATAATAATATATATATATATATATATATATATATATATATATATATATATATATATATATTTAACAAAAAAATTAAAATCTTCAGGCACACTGGGTTGTATATTAATATTCCTTCGTTTTATTATTATTTTCATTTTAGATTCCGCGACTAGTTTTTTGCCAAAATGGCCATCATCAGGGGAAAAAAAAATTCTGCTTTGTTGAAACCATGAACTACAGAAATGAATGTCTTGATGCAGAAAAAATTAACTTTTGTCTGTAGTTTTCATTTTGTTTTTATTTTTTATCATGAATTTTGGTCAGTCCTTGTGTTGGTCAAACAGTCTCTTTGAAGTTGTTATTTAAGATAAGAGCTAGATGGATTCATGCTGCTCTGAATACCCTTGGTCATTTTGACAGTTATTATTGGTTCCTGGAAAGGGGATGTGTCTCTGTTAAGTGTGTGTTATTTGGTTCTTAGGGAGTGAGTGAGTATATGTGTAAGTGTGTATATTCGTGTGGATGTGTGTATAAGTGTGAGTAGTCAACACCTCCGTAAGCATGTCTGTCTTGTGTGGGTGAGAAATGTGGGTAGGTCCTGATAATATAAATTAAGACTTCGCTAGGATGTTTGTGAACAGTATTCTTTGATTTTTCTCAGACAAGAAAAATGTCAGACAGGATAAGATGTTGGACACACAGTCCGTTTTTGATTCTGTCGACTGCGCAGTCGAGTAGGGTCAGTTGGGCACCGTCTATGAGAACAAGAACACCATAACGGAATTCACCCTGACAGAAATTTGGAAACACCATGCTGTACTGCTTGGCATTTGCACCAGAACTCCAATATAAACAAGTCAGAGTGTTTGGGTGTCAATCAATCTGAGGACAGTGCAGAGGATTCGAAAAGAGTTGGATGAGTCTAATGGTGATTACGAAGGTGTTTGGAGTGATCACTAGTGATGGCGACGTTATGCCCACATTCATCTTCTCACAGGACCTCAGATTAAGCACGTAGGCCTTGGGGAGGTAGTGTTACCCTGGATGAAATGGGTAGCTGGTGGAAGACCTTATGTTTGGCATCAAGACTCTGCATGCCACAGAAGCAAGAGAAACCAGCCATGGCTGTCAGACAATTTCTGCGACCACACCACCCCTAACCGTCCAGACTGCACCCCGCTGATTATTCTATGTGGGGCGCAATTGAGCAAGAGACCAACAAAACTCCTTGTAGCGCCAAAGATGAACTGAAGACAAGGATTATGGCAGCATTCACCAACTTAAAAATGGGATCTCCCAGAAGAGTTGCAGAAGGTTCCGAAGTCATGTGGAGGCCGTGGTTGAGGCCAATGGCGATTTTATTGAATAAATTTACTCTTCCGTATTTCGGGATATTTGATGTAATTTGATAAATATATCTGTTAAAATGAGATGCCAGTGTTATTTTCATTTTTATGTAATTTACACGACAATTTATCATCTCAACCTATATATATATATATATATATATATATATATGAAAATATATAGAAAATAGGAAGGAATTGGTTAGGTAAATAATCCAAAGTCCCTTAGTATTTTAGTTATTAAAAAAAAAAAATAGTGCTCGATACAAAA